TATACAATACAATGATCAAATGAAAATTAAGATATATGTGGATGGTTATACGTGGCTTGTTTGCTGTGAAACCCCTAATTGTTGGAACTGAACCAAGAGTGGAAGACCCATGAACTGAACTAGTATGGTCTAAAGGATTGGGGGGAAGACTGAGGCTGTAGTTTCTCTGTGTTAAGATGACACACATGTACCTTGTATTTGAGGCAGCTAGACATGACTTATGTAGGTGAGGAGGGTACTTAGGTAGCATTTTGGTCTCCTAATAAGGCACAGATACTCTACATGTGGTCCTGTATCCATCTAAAAAGCTAAGAAAATGTGGTATTAGGTTTTAAAACCTACTGGGTCTTTTGAGTCTGACTGCCACATAGAACTTGTAACCAGGCCAGGTGAGGTGACTCACACCTGTAATCCCAGCACTTCAAGAGGCCAAGGCAGACAGATGACTTGAGCCCAGGAGTTCAAGACCAGCCTAGGCAACATGGCAAAACTCTGTGTCAAAAAAAAAAAAGAAAGAAAGAAAGAAAGATAGATAGATAGATAGATTAGCCAGGCGTGGTAGTGCATGCCTGCAGTTCCAGTTATTTGAGAGGCTGAAGTGGGAGGATGGGAGGAGGTGGAGGTTACAGTGACTACTGGAGTACATGCCACTACACCCCAGCCTATGCAATACAGCAAGACTCTGTCTTAAAAAAAAAAAAAAAGAACTTGTAACTACTGCTTGCTGAGCGATGCAAATACGTTAACTGAAATCTCCTTTATTCTGAAATGTCCTCTGTCTAATGCTTTATAATAATTTATTTACTCTCCCAAAAATAATACCTACCCCTCATAAGAGGATTTTCTTGTAAAAGAAACAGTATGTACAGCTTTGCAGATTGTGCATTACATGGCTCCAAGGGATGCCAATTATACAGACATCCCTGTGAATGTGTTACAGATTTTTCATTGCCCAGCTCCAGGCAATAATAATTACAATACAGTCTATGTACTTGGCAGTCTTTGGGGTTAAATGGTGTACAACTGGCTAACCCTAAATAGCCATATATGGCAGCCCTGGATCTACCTCAGTCTGAAGTTTGTTGGTTCCAAAATGGACCCTGCCTTGAGGTAGAGAAAGTAAAGATTTTTTAGTAGATGCTGCAGATACACTGCATCGTATCTGCTTGGCTTGCCTGCATTGACGTACAGTTATGGCAGACAGTCCCTGGCACACTGAAAATATCCCAACTTAGGAATTAGTGTCTCTTGTTCTCTCTACCTGAGCCCTCTCTCTTGCACCGTGGGAAGTTTGCAGGCACAATTGAGATACGTGGGTGTATACTCATAAATATCCCAGCCTTCCCTCTGATGGGGATATTTTGTATATGTTTCCAATAGTTTCTCAGAGGTTTCCAGGAGGATTGAGACATAGTTGCTTACAGCACTAACCTGCTCTATTATGCATACTTTATCAATTTTTTCCCTTTTCTTGCCTCACTTTTTTAACTTTCTTATTTGTGCTTCCAGGGATTTTTCCCCCTAGAAGCTACCTGCACCCAAGTCCTTGTCTCAGGGTCTGTGGTAGATGAAATCCAAATGAAGCAGATGTCCTATGAACAAATGGCCTTAGTTGGATGTAAGCTTGCATGGTGTCCCATGGCTAGATATTTGTTAATCGAATAAACAAATAATTCTTCCACAGGGTTAAGGGGCTACCTCCACTTATGAGGAAGAGGAGAGGCAAAAAGAGTTAAGTTGTGAGTTCTCATACTTCAAACTGCATGTATGACAAAGTGACGGAAAACTGAACTGTCTCCCAGCTATGCAATAAAGTATGCATCATTCCAAATGTGAATGAATCCTGTTTTATATAGCACTGGCATAGTTTATATTGCAATTCTGAGTGGGGGTAGCCACAAGATCCTTGCATTTATGCTGCAAAATATCTCCCTCCACATCTCAAATTCTCTTCATTATTTTAGTAAATTACCTGCAAGCACCCCCATTCCAATCCTAGACTCAAAAACTTAAGATAATCTAGCTTTGGAACACTAGCTACACCTATGAATGCATCTGCTTCCTAACCAGAGAAAGGTACAAGACTCTGGGGACAGGAAATTTTAAATTCATTTCTTTGTTATTTAAAATCATTCTTTTATCTCTAAGCCTCCACTACACCTTTTTCTTTCTAATTGGAAGAAGAATACATGTTCAAGGAGTGTGAAATTAACACAGTACATGCACGATCTCAATAAATAAACACAAAAATCTTTTTGTTGCACATTGCAGGCTTCATTCAATTAGTGAAATGTTAAAACACTGTTGTGTTGCACAGCCTAACCTTTTAATATCAGGAAAACCTAAATAAAACAAATAACTAACAAATAAGAAAGTCAGTGTTCTTAGCCAAACATGGAACCAGCAGAATCTGTTTTCCGAGATTCATGTTTCCATCTTAGAGCCCCATTAGCCCTCCCAGTCAATGCCCTTCCCTACCTGCTAGTTCCATAGTCTTCCTCTTTGCAGTCAGCTGTTTAAAATGTTGGCTGATAGATAAGGCAAGAAGAGTGGTTTAACATTCAAGGCAAACATGTTACAGGCGCCCTAACTTTGCCTACTGTACACACAGCAGACATTGATAATCTGTCACCGAAACGATATTGTACTTAGCAAAGTGCTGCCAGCCTCCATCGGCAATCAGAATTGGTGCAACCAAGTCATTTCTCAACTAATCTTTGCTGAACTTATACTACGTTCCTGTCAATGTTCTGGCTCTAGGAATATGAACAACATAGACAATGTTCTTGCTTTTTATGGGATACTAGCATTCTAATTAATGCTTTTAAAACAGAAAACTGAAAATCCGTAAGGATAAACCTCCAGGAGTTGATGATATTGGCATTTTAGGCTTCATACTTCTATCAAGTAGCCATTCTCATTATTTTCATGTAAGTTTCCTTCTGTAAGTCCAGCAATTCTAGCATTGCATCGTTAGGTCAATTATCTCGTTATTAATAAAACTTCAGGCCTAGGGGAAGAAGGTAAATAAACTGCACAGAATATTCCACTCTTCTCTTTGCCTCTTTCCATTACACATTACTGAGTGCCTACTGTGCATCGGGGCTACATTTGGAATAGGGATACAAGGATAATTTCATTCTCTGCCATTGTAAGGCTTATAGTGTAACGAAGTAGGTAGAAATATAAGCAGATGAACTTAAAGTAACGCTATAGAGTACTAGGACCTGAACTCACTGTGTCAGCTCAACAAGCAGACTCTAGAATGTAATCAATTCATTGTAGAATTGTTGCAGCAAATATTCTGGATGTAATGATTACTTTTATGAACTATACCAAAATAATTAGCATCTTTAAAGTAAGCAATCTTTTCTTTTTTTGTCTAGACATAAGGGCAAAAAGTTAAAAACCATGTTGTAATTTTTAATGAGCATTTATCTCTCATTATTTAAAAAATTTAAAAACACAAAATCAAACATCTATGTATTAGCACCCAAAGGTATTTTTATATTTTATTAGTCTACTGATGTTTTAATAAGGGTAAGTTAAAATTATATTTAGTCAGTAGTTTTTGCATTTTTTCTTTTAGAAATTACAAGCATTTAAGGATAATTTATTAATTAAATTGGGCCTAAGTTTTTTTGGTTGTTTTTTTTTTTCCTCCTTTTTTGAGACAGGGTCTCACTCTCATCACCCAGGCTGGAGTGCAGTGGCGTGATCACCACTCGCTGCAGCCACAAATTCCTGGGCTCAGGTGATCCTCCCACCTCAGCCTCCCAAGTAGCTGGGACTACAGATACATGCCACCATGCCTGGCTAATTTTTTAATTATTTGTAGAGACAAAGTTTTGCCATGTTACTGAGACTGGTCTCGAACTCCTGGGCTCAAGTGATCTTCCCACCTCAGCCTCCCAAAGTGTTGGGATTACAGGTGTTAGCCACTGCACCCAGCCAGGACTAAGTTTTAAAAGTTAGTTAAGAATCTAGAAATTAAAGTTTAGTTAATATATTAAATCTTTATGAATTGTATTAATATAAAGTGTTACAAAACTTAACCATTTAAGAAGACAACCACTGTTACGTCATTTAGTTAGAAGCGACGTAATATATGTATAATTTTATGTTTTAAATCTGGTCTTGAGCAAAGCAAAATAATGGTGTCAACCCTTTGTTATGGTAACCTAATTATTCGAGACTGAATGACGTCAGACTTCAGGATTGCCACTCAGATACTTGCCACCAGTTATTTAAATGGTGAACCCAGTGTAACTTAGCAGAATTCCTTCTTTTGTTTGTCTCTTTTCTCATTTTAAAATGGTTTTTTTAAATGGGAGTTCTTAGAGCTGCTGATGTGTGTAGGTCACTTATGGAGTGAAATTAGAATTATTCAAAGATGTGCTGGAGTGCTTACTGTTGAACAAGTATCTCCAGTAATTCTTACAATGAAGCAAACTTGGGACACCTACCCTTGTTAAGGTCAACTTTGCCAAAACATTTTTTTCTTTTCTTTTTATTTTATTTTACTTTAAGTTCTGGGATACATGTGTAGAATATGCACGTTTGTTACATAGGTATATATGTGTCATAGTGGTTTGCTGCACCCATCAACCCTTCATCTAGGTTTTAAGCCCCACATGCATTAGGTATTTCTCCTAATGCTATCTGTCCCCTTGCGCCCCCACCCCCTGACAGGCCCCAGTGTGTGATGTTCCCCTCTCTGTGTTCATGTCTTCTCATTGTTCAATTCCCATTTATGAGTGAGAACATGCGGTGTTTGGTTTTCTGTTCCTGTGTTAGTTTGCTGAGAATGATGTCTTCCAGCTTCATCCACGTCCCTGCAAAGGACATGAACTCATTCTTTTTTTTATGGCTGCATAGTATTCCATGGTATATATGTGCCACATTTTCTTTATCCAGTCTATCATTGATAGGCATTTGGATTGGTTCCAAGTCTTTGCTATTGTAAATAGTGCTGCGATAAACATACATGTGCACGTGTCTTTAGAATGATTTATAATCCTTTGGGTATATCATTTTTTTCTTTCTTAAATGATCTTTTGTTGGCAGCTTCCTTGATTTCATGGCTTTGTAGCAGTTTTCATTTACTTCCGCTTTCACTCTTTTGTCCTATGTAGTGTAAAGTACTCTATATTGCATCTGTTTTCTTAGGTTTTGGTAGTTTAATAGTGACACCATCTGTCTTGCCCATTCAGAGCTATGGTGCTTATGGTTACAAAAGAAATAGTCATTTATTATGTTGATGATGGAGCTTAAAACCAACTCAGAAATGTCTCAGCAACATCAATTCTTTATATGGAACATGCAGGTACGGTATCTGTAGTGAAGAATTAAAAATTGTTAACTCACTTGGCAAGTTTAAAATAGTCTATCTATCTAGAAAAGTTTCCTTTTAAAAGCAAATCATTACACCTGTGACCTCAGGACTTTGGAAGGCTGAGGCGGACAGCTCAATTGAGCCCAGGAGTTTTAGACCAGCCTGAACAACATGATGAAACCCCATCTCTATAAAAGCAAAAATAAAAAATTAGCCAGGTATAGTGGCTAATCCTGAAAAGGATACCAAAAGGGTCCATTATGATGGCCATGACACTTGGATCCATATCTGTGAGCCATGAGCCAAGAACTGTGGCCATGTCCTTGTGGTCTATACCCTGTGCCACCAACCATTCTTCACTGCCTGGATTGTGCAGCCAGCTGGCTTATCCCACCCAGCACCTGCCAGGGAAAAGGTAGTAAAGATAAGGGGCAGTGGGTGGAGCAAAGCACAACAGCAGTCTCCCTGGCCAGCCAGGAGACCCTCTTAGGGTGCTAGAATCAGTTTGGAATCCTGGGAAAGTTTACATTTTTAGCCCTCTAATTCATCAACTGCCATAGGGATAATTTGCCATAGTAACAAATAAGAATAGTAATAGCCACTATACATTTGCTTATATTTTTTTACCTCATTGTATTAGACCATATTAACATGAATCAAAGCAGTATATTTGAAAATAAGCAGCAAAAGTTTAGGCAAGTTGGTAAATATACATAATTCTGAAAATTATTTTCATATTGCTAGTTACAAAAGATCTAGATGAAACTAGAATGTGTGTGCATACATCATGGTCAAACTCAGTTTAGTGATGAGGGTGCATGTCACGGTTAGGGTGTAGTTGAAGGTCACAATCAGAGTCAGTGTAGCTCTGGTCAGGGTTAGGATCAACTCTGCATAAGGATCAGGTGTCAGGTGTAGGGTAAAAGTAAGATTCGACTCAGGGTCATAATGAGGGTCAGGGAAAGGGTCATGACAGGGTGAGGTTGGGAGTCAGGATCAATGTCATGGTGAGAGTAAGCTTCAATTTCATGATGAGGGTCAGGATGAAGTTGAGGCCAGTGAAGGGTTTAGTGTCACAATGAAGGTAAAGAAGGGTCAGGTACAGATTCAGGGTCAGTATCAGAGGGTTAAAGTCAGAGTCAGGATGAAGGCTGGTGTACACTTCAGGGTCAGTTTTAGTATAGTGGTCAGTGCCAGGGACAGGGTCAGGTTGAGGACTGAGGTCACTGTCAGGGTCATGGTCAAGGTCAATGGGGACAAGTAAGAGTCAAGGTTCAAAGGAGGTTGAAAGTCAGTGTCAGGGCCAGGATAAGGGTTAGGATCATAGTCAACATGACAGTGAGAGTCAGGTTTAGGATAAGGGTCATTGTTAAGGGAAGGGTAGGGGTGAGAGTCCAAGTCAGGATGAGGGTCAGAGTCAGTTTCAGTGCCAACACGAGGTAAGAGTCCATGCGTGATTTAGATCACAGTCAGGGTCATGGTCAGGGTAAAGGTAGGGTGAGAGTCAAGTTTGGGATAGGGGTAGTGTCAGGGTCAGAGTCAGCATCAGGGTCAAAGTCAGGGTGATGGTCAGAGGTAGGGGCAGGGTCAAGTAAGGTACAAGGATTGGGGGGAATGAGAGACAGTGTCAAGGTGACATCAGGTTTGAGTTAGATTTGAGGGTAAGGATCATGAGAAGAGAGAGGATGAGTATCAAGATCAGAGTAAGGGTCAGGCTCAAGATCTCAGAACAAAGGTCAGAGCCATGGCCATGGTTAGGGTTAGGGTCACATGGAGGATCAGTGCCAAGTCAGGTCAAGATCAGGGTCCGGGCAAGGGTCAAGATACAGATCAAGGTCAATATCAGTCAGGGAATGGGTCAGGGTCAAAATGAGTGTGAAGGTCAGAGTGAGAAGAGAGTCAAGGTAAGGGTCAGGGTCAAAGTGTGCCACTGGGAATGTGAGGGTAAGATTTAGTGTGAGGATGAGGATCAGGGTTAGGCTGATGGTAAGGATGAGGGTAAAGGACAGGTTAAGGTCAAGGTGAAGATGTGGGTTGGACTCAGTGTCAGGGTGAGTGTCACAGTGAGTGCCAGAGTCAGGATGTGGGTTGGGGTCAAGTGAGGTGTCAGGGACATGGTGAGGGTGAGTGTCTGGGTGAGAGTAACATAGAGGGTGTGGGTGGGGTCAGTGTCAGCGTCATGGCGAGGAATAGGGTCTGGGTGTGGGTGAGCATCAGGGACAGGTGCAGGGTCAGGATGGACAGCAGGAGGGCAAAATTCTAGGTCAAGGCAAGGTCCTAGTGAGGGTCACTATGAAGGTCAGATGCACATGAGGGTCAAGAGTCAGTGGACATATGACCACTATGTTCCTGACATTCACCCCATTCAAGAACTACAGTGTCTTGGTGAGGATGAGAGCTACCATTAGGGCAAGAGTCATGTTAATAGACATGATGAAGTTCAGGCTCAATGTCAGGTTCAGTGTCAGGTTAAGTTTGAGGGGTCAACTTGACCCTGACTGTGCCCAGAACCTTGATTATTATCCTATTCTGAAACCACCCTGACCTTGACAGTGATCCTGAAGCTAACTCTGACCCAGATAATACCCTTACACTGACTCTAATCCTGCACTTGACTCTGGACTTTCCCTGACCCTCCCTAACCCTCACTCTGACCTTCACCATGATGCTGGCTGACCTTGACCCTCAGCCTGACACTGACCCTGACTATCAAGCTGACACTCTCTGACATATACACTCAACCTTATCCTCATCCTTATGCTTATCCTGATGCTCTCTGACCCTGATCCTGTCTATGACCATCACTTGACCTTGGCCCTTCCTCTGATCCTCATGCTGACTCTGAGCTAACCATTACCCTGAATCTGACCCTGATTTTCTCTCTGAATTTTATTGTCAGAGTCACCATTTTTATAACCATGAGCCTTACCCTTACACATATACTGACTCAGAATCTCCCTCTCATCTCACAATAACCCTACCTTGCACCTGACTCTGACCTTGACCTTCAGTCTCACACTGACCTTACCTCTGACCATGAAACTGACATGTAAACTCACCTACCTCTGGCCCCTAATTCCTATTCTTTCCCTAATCCAGACACTCAAGTTCACCCTGCATTTGACATTACCACTCATCCTATTCTCACATTGACCTTGACCCTTGCTTACTTAGCCTGACAATGATTTCAACCCTCATCCTTAACCTAACCCTGACCCTGACCCCAACACTGATCTTTTCTAATGTTGATACTGACCCTCACCTGATGTTGATCTAACCTTGAAGTTGAGCCTGAGACTTATCCTGATCCTTTCATTGTAACACTCAACTTGATGTTGATCCTTATATTGAAACTTACTCTGAATTTCACCACGACCCAACCTTGACAGTCACCCTTACCCTGAACTTACCTGTCACTATGTCCCTAATGCCTACCCTCATACGGACTCTGACACTGACCTTCACCCTGAATCTGACTGATACTCATTGTGTACCTGACCTTACAGTGACCCTCACCATTACCATGACACCAAGACCCTGATCTAGAGCATCGCTACCATATTCATCCTGACCTTACAGTTGACCTTACACTTCACCTGACCCTAACCCTCACCCTCATCTAGACCCTATTCTGTACCATTACTCTGACACTGTCACCCACACCTTCAATATTACACTGACCCTCACCATGTCTACCTTGCATTTGACCCTGACCCTCACTGTGACTCTGACCCTGATTATCATCCTAACATTGAATCAGACCCTCACTCTCAGTTTAACACTTTACCTCTCCTAGTCCCTGTCCCTGACCTTTGCCCTGAACTTCAGCCTCACTTTTATGCTGTCACTAACCCTGAAGCTGAACTTGATCCTGACACTAACAACTGTCCTTACTTTCACAATGGCACACCCTGGCACAGGCTCCTACCTTGACTCTCTCCTTGCTCTGTTTCTCACGTTCATTTTGACCATCTCTCCCTGAACCTGATTGTCACCCTGGTCTTGATTCTGACCCTGAGCTGACTTGACACTGACCCCAACCTAATCTTCACCCTTATCATGATTGGACCTTCACCCCAACTATGATCCTGCATCAAACCCTGGACTTGAGCCTCCCCTAATCCTAACTCTCATCTTCACCCTCTCCACACCCTTATCCATAACCTGACTCTGACCCTAACATTGCCCTGTCACTGTCTCTGAGGTCTCTAACCCTCATACCTACCTGACATGCAACCTGACCTTTACCCTGACCATCCCCCTGAACCTCAACAATATCCAAATCTTGACCCTGATGCCTATACTACCTGAACTTGACCTCACTATACCCTGACTCTGATCATGACCCTGACTTACCCTGAACTTGATCATACCTTGACCCTTATCTTACACTGATACTGACCTTTACCTTTAACCTGACTCTGCCCCTCACCCTGACTCTTCCCTAAACAATGACCCTTACCCTGAGCATGACCCCACATTCTCATCTCATGCCTGATCCTACACTCATCCTGTTCCTAAAACTAATACTAAGCCTCATCCATCTCTTGACCCATACTTGGTCTTTACTGCAACCCCAACTCTCACAATGCCGCTAAGGAAAACACTGATCCTCAACTTGACCCTGATGTCACCCTGACACGGGCCCTAAGAGTACACTCCCCCTTGCCCTGATTCTGACCTCTATTCTGACACTAACCCTAACAATAAACCCTTCACTGACCATCACCCTTATTTTGACCATGAGTCACATCCTGACCCCAATCCTGAGCCTTGCTAAGACCCTGAAGCTCACCCTCATCAAGACATTGACTCTCACCCTGTCCATGATCCTCTCCCTGACACAAAGCTTGGCCCTGGCCTGATCTATCTGCTGACCCTGACCTGAATCCTACCCTCCCTCTGAGCCTTATACTCCCTATCATCGTGAAATTGGCCTGACCCTGACCAGAGCCTGATACTGACCCGGATACTGACCCTGAACCCTGCCATGACCCCAGCCCTGATGCTGAGTATCATCATCACAGAATAAAGTTAAAGAAATATATATGTACACTCTTGTTTTATCTAGATCCCTTGTCATCAAAACAGGAAGTTACTTTTAAGAGCTATGTATAATTCTGAACTTGCTTACACTTGAGCTGTGTGTTTTCAAACATGCTGCTTTGACTTGAGTTAATATGGTCTACCTCAAAGTAAGAAGCTGCAGTTAAGAAGAATGTGCAGTTCTCATTGATTTGCCTCAGATAAAGTATGGGTTCAACTCTGTTAATTCTAACTCATTTAAAAATTGTCTTTAGAGACTAATGTTTGGTTCTCAGCTTGATTTCTTCTTTACTGCTTGTCTGTACATAGACCTACAATTTTCAACTATATTTGCTTTACTATATGTGTGTGTGTGTATATATATATATATTTGCTATATATATCTGAGTTTAGATTGCCAAACAGAAGTAATTTTGAAAAAAATTCATATTGGGGCAAACCAGCTCAGCCTTCTTACACATTACTCTCAAATGAAACTTCTTAGTGCTTTTTAGAGGAAACTGACATAAACATAAGGACAGCAAAACATACTAATTTCAAAGGCACATTCTTACTAAAATAAAAAAAAATACAAAAGACCACATATAAGCCATATTTTAACCGACCCTTATTACTTAAAATGTCAATGAATTAACAAAATATGCCTTGGATGATAATACATATATATTTGTATTTGCCTTTTCAAAACTTTTAATCAATATAAGATAATGCTTACTTAAAAATGATGCAGATGGTTTTTAACTTCCTGTCCTCTAGATGTCACTTATGTCTACAGAAAAAGAAAGAAAAGACTGATTAATTCAAGACAATAATTAATGTAGATAGTTGATTATATAGGGTGTAAGAATTACAGAGAGAGTTTCTAATTGATTTCTTATTAGTTTTTTAAAAGTTATTGCAGTTAATTCACGTAACAATTTAATTTGATATAGATTGTTTTGTTTAATATACTGATAAATTATATTTTAAGGCTATAATTAAACGGTTTATTATTTAATCATGTGTTGTATATTCACAAAATAGCTAATCTAGAATTAGCTTCACCTTCTAACAACACCCAGTTTAGAGCAAAACCCTCACTTCCTTAGATCCTCCCCCAAGTCACCCAACAAAAGATCACATTCTATAACAGGTACTTCCTGACACCTTTTTACTGAGACAGCCTGTAGTTCCCAGTGATGTGCATTCTCCCTCAATGCAAGCCATAATAAGACCAATTTATTCATCTCAGGTATGTGCCTAAGGGGTCTTTGACACAAGGACACTGACAAGTTGAGTGCATAGATAGGCACAGAAGCTGTGAAGTCAGCATGACCAGGGCTGGATCCCTCGTTTTTGTCTTTTTAAAATTTTAAAATACTAGAAGATAAATTCGTATGAACAAATAAGTTGGAAGGTTTTAAACTTTCTGTCCCCTGGGTGTTCCTTATGTCTAGAGAAAAAAACAGACTGATTACTTAATTAAAAATAGTATTTAACGTAGATGTTGATTAAACTGAGTATAAAAATTGCAGAGATAAAAGTCTATGCAGAGTATATATGTATTTTCAATAGTCAGAAACCTATTTTTGTGTTTGTACATGTGTGCCTGCCTAAATTCATACAAATAAATGTATATCAAGAGTTCTTACACTTGATCTTAGCCAAAAGGCAGAGAAGCAACATCAATAGTTCCTTTACTACAATTTGTTACATAAATAATGTGCCAAATGAATAATCAGAATTTAGGTCTTCCATGTAAATTTATCAAATATTTTTATCCCCAGATCAATAGAGGTTCCTTTTGTCACCAAATTATTCTGTTAATTCTCAATGCTTTTTGCATATTCTTCAACCATTCTTTTGAGACTCCTTTGGATAGTGTTGGCCTAATTTTATCCGTTCATATTTCAAAATGCCGGCACCTACTTTAATCCAGCCGTAAAATACAGACCACACAACCAGCAGATGGAGACACCGAGCGCGTGCGCTCCTCGCTCGGCAGCACCACCCTTCAGCCAGAAGCTCGCCCGAGGGCCTGCCCGGCGCAAGCGCACTTGCTGAAATGAACAGGTGGTGGGAATCTGGTTTTTAGCTGAGCCTCCAACCCTGCCTCCTGTGTCCTTATCATCTTCCAATCGAGGAAAGAAGAGGATGCAACAGATCTCCCCGTTAATCCCAAATCCTTGTCAGGCCGCTGCAGCAGGCACTCCTGGAGCTGCCGATGACTCCCTACGACTGGTTCCCGGAGAACAGCAGTTTGGCAGCAGTTGCACCTGGAATAGTCAGTGCATGCTCAATAGTTGGGCAGGGGACTTTTCCCCCAAAGGTCAGCACGTCAGCACACGACAGGGTCAAAGGGATTACAGCAGGCGTTTCCTAGCAACGGTGAGTCCTGCCCACTGCAGATTCTGGGTAGGGTGCAGGCGGCGGAGACTACTCTGAAAACTTTGCCAAGAGTATTAGTACTGCATAATTGCGAGCATGCGATGGGGAGCAGTGGGAAGGTGACTTATGCCAAAATAACTAAATTGCAGGATTCTGGGTGCATTAAAAACTTGAAATCCGTGACTGGGTCACTGATAAAGGAGGTGGGATGGGGTGGGCGGAGAGCTCTGTTGCACTTCCCTCCCTTCCCCAGCAAGGGGAGGAGTGGGTGAGTGCCAGGGTGGGGACCCCAGGTAGACCACAGGGTCCAACCACCCGTTCCTTTAAGAAAGTTTTGGGCCGGGCTTGGTGGCTCACGCCAGTAATCCCAGCACTTTGGGAGGCCGAAGCGGGCGGATCACCTGGGGTCGGGAGTCCGAGGCCAGCCTGGCCAACATGGAGAAACCCCGTGTCTCTACTAAAAATTCAAAATTTGCTGGGCGTGGTGTCGCATGCCTGTAACCCCAGCTATGTGGGAGGCTGAGGTAGGAGAATCACTTGAACCCGCGCAGAGGTTGCGGTGGGCCGAGGTCGTGCCATTGAACTCCAGCCTGGGCGACAAGAGCATAACTCCGTCTCAAAAAAAGAAAGTTTTCACCCTTGCAGAATAAGGACCCTAGGAAGGGTTGATTTTAGACATGAAGCTAATAGTAATGCTTTCTGCCATGGGAGTTTAAGAGATTTTGAGAGCTTTGTTAATTTTAGTTCTAAAATTCCATTTGTTCTCTCTGTTCGCCTTGAGGACTGCAGATGATAAGGACAGAGAAGTTTCTGTGTAAAAGTACTAAAGTGCAGTACTAGTAAAATGAGCACCTCTGTCATTGGAGAGATAAATGGGAATTCCCCATGTGGGAAAACAAAACCAAGCCATCCCCTGAACCTTTTCAATCCCCAACCCAGCATGGAATAGCTCTCCAGCAAGGAAAAACTTCAGTCCACCCTGAGAATAAATGCACAATGAGCAAAACATATTTATAATTCATTGTAAAAGGTATTTGTATGAAGTCCACTTGGAAGTATTTAAAGGGACATAGAGGCTTTGATTCCTGTCCATGACCCCACCTTGGCAGTTTATCAGGATGTGTCACTGGTAGATAAGACATGCTTTCAAACACATCCTTGGCAGCTATGTCTAAAATTAAGCCACCAGTGTTGGTCTAATATTGTTGTCAGCTTATTATTCCTTTATGGTTATATCATGAAGAATTTTCATTAAGCTCCATTTTCAAGTGTTGAGGCACACTCAGTTGGCCATCCTGATGATCATCTAACGATCATCCTAAATTGAATTAGAGACTTGTTTCTGACAGTTAGGAACAGCCTCTCTGAACTACTGCAAGACTTTTCTTGTCCGTGTGATGATAGGACTGTTTATCTAGGTTAATATTGTTTGTTTAGCATAGTGGCCAGCCAAAGCATTACCATGGATTTCTAGGTCTTGTCTTTGCAATGACTGTGTTTTTATGATAGCTGTTTTCTTAGGTAATAGTAAAGCATCTAAAAGGTCTTTAATTTGTCATTTAATTGGTGTAAGTTTTTTTTTCAAGGTTACAAACAACTCTGTTTCTAAACAATTCTGAATTTGTGGACTACCCCCCAAACACATTTACTATCAGCATAAATATTTGCTTATTTATTTATTTATTTATTTATTTATTTATTTATTTATTTGTGAGCTGTCAAGCCCAGGTAAGGACATGATGTTAATTATCTGAACTGATTTAATTTTTGGAAGTTGTCTATGTTTTAAGGGTGAATTTCACTCCATGATAGCATTTTAACTTTGAACAAATAAAATTAGGTCAAGGTTATCCAAGGGAATCTCTGAGGATAGTTGAAGAGAATACAAAAGCAGTAGAACAATGTGTTGACAAGAAAAGGAACCTCTGTTGACCTGGGCATAAAATAAGTCATTTCATACAAAAGACCTAAATTCTAATTTTATTCTTTTGGTATATTATTTATATAACAAATTGTAATAAAGGATATATTCCCTTTTTGTATGCATCAAGATATAAAAATATAAATAGGTAATAATTTAAAGTTTTAAACTATAGCTTTAAAGCATAATTGTCAGTATACTAAATAAAGCAATAGGTATTATATTAAATTTATTATATGAGTGAACTACACAACTTTTAAAAATATACAAGCAGAAAATTACATCCTATTTGTATATACCTGTATCTCTCTGCAATCCTTATACCTAGTATAATGAACTGTCTTTGTTAATTACTACCTCTAATTAAAGGAATAATTCTTTTCTTTCTTTTTTTCTTCCAGACATAGGAGACATCTAGAGGATAGAAAGTAAAAAACTGCCTAGGTAATTTTTTCATGAGCATTTATCTCATATTAATTAAAAGCTTTGAGAAGGCAAATACACACAAATATGTCTTATTATCCAAAGGCGTTTACATATTTTGTTAATCCACTGACATTTTAAGAATGAAGAGGCAATTAAAATTAGGTTTAATAAGCAGTATATTTTTATCTTTTTTCTTTCTAGTAAGAATGTGCCTTTGATATGTATTTTGCTGTCTTTACACTTATCTTGCTTTACTCTGAGAAGCAGTAAGGACTTTTGATAGGAATGCCTGAGGCCGAGCCTGATTGTACTACTACAAATTCTTTTTAATATTGCTACTTAGATTCACTCTCATTTGCTCTGTTGTGTGAGTCAATTCAGGCTGCTATAACAGAATACCATAGACTGAGTGGCTGAAACAATGGACATTTATTTCTCACAGTTCTGGAGGCTGGGAAGTCCAAAATCAATGAGCCAGCAGATCCCATATAACTGTCTTCTCATACCCTCACATGCTGGAGGGTAGAGAGAGGGAGCAAGCTTTGGAATCTCTTTTTTTTTTTTTTGAGATGGAGTCTTGCTCTTTCGCCTAGGCTGGAGTGCAGTGGTACAATCTCGGTTCACTGCAACCTCTGCCTCCCAGGTTCAAGCGATTCTCCTGCCTCAGCCTCCGCGTAGCTGGGATTATAGGCGCCCAGCACCACACCCAGCTAATTTTTGTATTTTTAGCACAGAGGGGGTTTAACCATCTTTGGACATGCTGGTCTCAAACTCCTGACCTAGTGATCTGCCTGCCTCAGCCTCCCAAAGTGCTGGGATTACAGGCGTGAGCCACTGCACCCAGCCTATCGGAATCTCTTTTTATAAAGGGACTAAACCCGTTCAGGAAGGCTCCACTTTCAGGACCTAAAGACCCTATTTCCTAATACCATCAGACTGGGGGTTAGAATTTTAACTTTTTTTTATTATTATTTGAGACAGAGTCTTGCTCTGTCACCCAGGCTGGAGTGCAGTAGCATGATCTCGGCTCACCGCAACCTCCGCCTCCTATGCTCAAGCAATTCTCCTGCCTCAGCCTCCAGAGTAGCTAGGATTGCAGGTGCGTGTCACTATTACCTGGCTAATTTTTGTATTTTTAGTAGAGATGGAGTTTCACCATGTTGGCCAGTCTGGTCTTGAACTCCTGACCTCAAATGATCCACCCACCTCAACCTCCCAAAGTACTGGGATTACAAGCATGAGCCACCATACCCGGCCAGGATCTTAACTTATGAATTTGGGGGGAACACAAACATTCAATCTATAGCGCCTACTTTGAAAAAAAGAATATGCCTTTTAGATGGATATGTGTTTTCTTCTTACAGTCATCTTAGTTTACTGCAGGAAACAATAAGGAGATATTTTTGAGAGGAATGTCCAGAACTGAGTTTGCTGATACTAATATGGATTCTGTGTGTGTGTGTGTGTGTGTGTGTGTGTGTGTGTGTGACTCATTCTGTCGCCCAGACTGGAGTGCAGTGGTACAGTCACAGCTCACTGCAGCCTTGATCTCCTGGATTCAGTCAATACTCCTGTCTCAGCCTCCTGAGTAGCTGGAACTACAGGTGTGTGCTATCATACCTGGCTAGTTTTTTGTATATTTGTAGAGACGGGTTTTGCCACATTGCCCAGGCTGGTGGATTCTTCTCAGTACTTCTGCTTAGACTCATCCTCATCTGTTGTCCCTTACAGTAGGGCTGTGCCTTTGCAATGAATGACACATACTCACATGTGCTTATGTTCACCTCAGTTTACTCTAAGAAGCAATAAAGAGTTTCTTTTGAGAGGAATGTCTGAAACTGAGCTTATATGCACTAATACAGATTGTTTTCAATGCTACCTCTGTTTGCCTAAACCAAGATGTATTTAAGATTTATTTGACCCCGAAAAACTCAGAAACTCATATTCATCTCAATGACAATTTCTTCCTGTGAATCAGAACAAGATAAGAGGAACCTATGCTATATGTGTGAAAATGAGTTCACATTTACACACTGTCCTCAACAGTAATTTCTTGCCAGTTAAAGCAAATATCATTGAAAATTGTATTTATGTGAACAGTAAAGAAAAAATCAGACAGTGGTTTCTAAAGAAAATTCTGGTCAGGCACTGTGGCTCATGCCTGTAATCCCAGCATTTTGGGAGGCTGAGGCAGGTCGATCACCCGAGGCCAGGAGTTTGAGACTGGCCTTGCCAATATGATGAAACCCCATCTCTACTAAAAATACAAAAAT